AAGATAACTAAAGACATATATCCACATATATGATGTGAAAAGAAAAAATGAAGTGGCCAATGCCACGTGGCTGCCAATAATACAAATGAGTTTTCCAAGAGCAAGCTCAGTATTAGGTGAGTTCACCCAGATGATACATATGGCCACTTAAGACAAACATATCACAATATGTGTGCTGTGTGTGGCACTAATGAGGCGAAGATGGGGTCTGTGTGGTTCAGTGGGAAAACGGCCAATAAGGATTTTTTTTCATGTATAGTCAGCTTTGCAATTTTAACAATACTTTTAAAATACAAAGCACTGAATTCATCAGGATTTGCTTCTTTTACTTCCGTTGCATATGTCCTTTCAAAACTGTATCGATTTTTTTTTAAGGAAATTGAGAAATCCATTTTGTATAGCACAGAGCAACACCAAGAATACAGCAGAAAAGAGCAGTCAGGCAAATTCCTCAAAACAGTAGCAGTGGTGGTAATAAGTCCTCTGGTTCAGAGTGGGGAAGGGATGAAGGATTCATAGCAAAACTGTCTCCAATGCCTTGTGTGGGGACTCCAACATGTTATAAGGTCCTTCCTCTGCAGTAGCAGCCATCTTGAAATGACTCTATTCAGTAGTTTTCTATGAGACATCAGCATCTCTTTAAATTTGTTAGCTTTCATGCAAAAATAGTATATTCTCTTTATGTTTACATTCATTTCATAGACATTATTTACACAAAGATTGCCAGTTTGTGCTTTTCACACATGGAAAACCAAAGTTTATAATTTCAAGTCAATTTGTTTCTTTCCAAAAACTGTAGGAAAACAAAAAAACTATTTTTGGATATAAACAGTAAAAATCAAATCCAAAGAAACAGGATTTTGCTGTTATTGTTCCCAATAATTTCAATAAAAATACTTGCAAAGGAATCCCTGTCTGTTTTTTAATACAGAATCCCAATACTGAATTCAGTGTTGTTGTTTTTTTTAAAAAAAATGAAATCCCGATATTGTTTTATTTAATTTGTGTATGTTCTCTAGCTCACAAGGAAGATTTGGCCTATAAAAGGGAAGATCATTATTGTACCAAGATATAGTCATACTAAATTTATGCAGCATTCTCTAAACTCATGGAAATTATTTTTATTATTATAGATAGCTCGCCATGATCCTACGGATTGATTAATGGACCATGGCTAACTTCCATGATAGATTCAAACATGCACATTCATCACTCAGTGCAGTTGCAAATTGAAATGACATGAGGTGACCAAATAGATATCATAGATATCATAGAGTTGTCATATTGCCTTATGCTATTTCATTCAAACAAGATAGTCTTTGAACTAGATGGCGGAATTCAACTCCAAACAAATCCTTTTGGGGGGGGGGGAGGGAGGTGGGTGACACTGGGCAGAATCAAAGATACCAGTCTAATTTATCTCAAAACTCTTAGTGCTCCTAACTGAGCCTTAGGAGAGGAATTTCAACCACTTAGAAGTGGGAAAAGGCTATTCAAAAACTGGGAAACCACTAAATGATATTATGATGGGATTTGGTCCTTTAGCCAGAAATTCGCCATTCATGCTATAGATCCCTTTCGATAGGCACTATTCACATGTACAGCTGCAAATCATGAAATAATAAACATGTATGTATAAATCAGCTTTCACAAGCACGTTAGAAGGTAAAACCCATCCTGGCATACTTTGAATTACTTCAATGTTATTCTAGGACTTATTATTTGCTCCGAATTTAAAACAGCAACCAAATTATGGAAAACTATCAATGGAAAAATTCATCACCATTCTAATGTCATAAAAAGAAATTCTGTTCAGAGGATTCTCATTTCCCTAATAGGAAAATGAAACAAAAAGTAATTTTTAGACATGTGGGTATAATGACCAAAATATTTGTAATTTTTTTAGTCTTACACACAATGTATATCTATTTCACACTAGTAATGTTTGTGTCACAGTGGGGTGTTATTTTTTGAACTCTTAATTTTATATCTGAATAAAAATATATATGAAATTTTGGGATTCACTGCCCGAGTATCATTGACTTTGTTGTGACTAGGATTTCATAAGTGTGACTGGATTGGGGCACAAATCTTGCCTGTTAATACAATCCCACAGCTGCTGCTGCTGCTGGGCTTGTAGAAGCTGATACAGTACATCACAAATGCATACTAGCAACATTTGTTTGGATCCAGTTATTGCAATTCTGATGCTTTGTGGGTATGTCATGCCAGAACAGTTGTTGATCAGCCAAGAATAAGGGTGATGACATCATCAATATCTTTGGAGGAAGGGGTCTTTCTTTGGACCACAGCTTTCAGAATTCCCAAGCAAGTTGTAATCCAGAGAAGTGACTTTTCCAGGTTCCAAGGACATTTATAATCTGCCCCATTTGCATACTATTGGGTCTTTAAATGGCATGTCACCATAAAGACAGTCTTTTTCCATTCTACTGCAATAAAATCTAGGATTGTCAAATATAGCAGAAATAGCAATCCATCCCGAGGCTAAATGTTCTTCCCATTTGCCAAACCATAATAGAGCATGCACTCCAGCATAGCTCTTTTTTTCAGTATCCAAAATAAGTTTTATGAGCACACAGTTCCGTTACTAGTGGTGGGGGAGTTAATTCTTATTTAGATTTTCCCTTACAGTTCTCTGAAAAACAGCAGCTATTTGCTGAAGAGGTGAGCATGCAACAAAGCTAAAACCACCCATGTGACTTTGAGTATCATCCAACCGCTGTTAAACATTTTATATCTTATGGTTCTAATGAGCAATAAAATGCAGAATTATCTATTTAAAATCAGATATAAAAGCAATTAATTATGTCTTGACCATACAAAGAAAATGTTGAAAGTTTAATGTTTACCTTTAGTATTGCTTCAAATCTATGCAAATAGATTTGACAGAGCTTTTGCTGTAGTGCCTACTGCAAGTAGATAAAACCATATGGGCCAAATTTAATTTCTATGCCAGCTTCCTCCAGTGGTTATGCCTCTAAGGGCCCTTCCACACAGCCATATAATCCAGAATATCAAGGCAGATAATCTACAATATCTGCATCGAATTGGATTATCTGAGTTCACACTGCCATATAATCTAGTTCAAAGCAGATAATGTGGGATTTTATACAGCTGTGTGGAAGGGGCCTGAGAAACTGAGTATTAAAATAATTCTAAGCATTAATTTAGTCAGAAAGAATACACATATGAGAATATTTCTACACTCTCCCTGTCCAATGAATATGAAGATTAGGTATTCTTATTATCTGCTTTAAAACGATGACTTAATGTTCAGGTCTGGATCTGGGTGCCCTTTCACACAGCCATATAACCCAGAATATCAAGCCAGATAATCCACAATATCTGTTTTGAACTGGGTTATCTGAATCCATGCTCTCATAAAATTCAATTCAATGTGGATTTTACACAACTGTGTAAAAGGGGCCTAGATTACTGGTCTTTGTTCAGAGACAGAATAAGATATTAAACAAGACTTCCTGAACCCAGTGCTCTCAAGATGTTAGAATTCCCATCGTTCCCGGATTGGATGAGGAAGTCTGTAGCAAGCCATATTTGTTCTTGCTTTGCTCTGATACGATTAGAGAAGGAAGCTGAAGAATAAATCTCTTTAAGGCTGGGCATTTATATACATATAATATTTTTTCTGTATTCAAAATACTACATGAAACACACAATTACTTTCTGAAACCTTAATCAAAGAGATCTTTATAAATTAGTTTTTGCATGAGAACTTCACTGCCTTATTTAATTTTTCGGCTAAGGCAAGACATTCCAGGAAAGTATAGAGGAATTTAGATCAGTTCTTCAGTTTAGCTTAGTTTTTTTTTTAGCATAGGTTAGAAAAAAGGGAAAAGTTTGTATTCTCTAAACAATCTGTTATCTTGATATAGGGAAATTATTTTATATCATTTTTAATAGAATTGTGAATTCAATTTAGTAGGTTCCAGCATGGGATGGTTTTAATTCTTGATATCTTGGAAATGTTCAGAAGCATTGAAAAAGAAGGATGTTGAGGGGGACATTTGATCCTTCAGATGATTTGCAGTGCAATTTTTACAACCTCTTATTATTGATCATACAGGCTAGGTGTTTGAGGAGATGAAATCCAAAACATCTGGTGGCCCAAAGATCCCTGACTCTTTCCCTCAAATTTCCCTATGTGGATACAGTCATATGAAAGTGGTAGCATGGAAGTAATGTTGGGCTGACAATGTTTGCTTTCATTGCTGTATGCAAGGAGGGGATTTTTTTTTTCAGATGGCCCATTAATTCTTAACTGTGTTAGAAACAGCACCTGGTGTCATAGTCATAAGCCAGCTTTCCCACATAGGGTTTTCTGTGGCAATGATTTTAGAAAATTGGAACTATGTTGGGGACAGAGCCATAACATTTCAAAGCATGAGCTCTTATCAATAAATTCAGTTCTACAGTTACTCTCTTTCAGGCCTATCCTATTTCTGAAAATTACAGGTTAGTATTCATGTGCCACCAGGTATACTGCATTCAGCATACATGAAATCCAAATTCTTTCTACCCCAATCCTTATATTAATTGATTACTCAATAAATTCGGTGTTTTGTTCTACAGAAAACAAATGCTGCTATTTAAAAAACAATTCATTTCAGTTTTATGTTCTAGATCAGGGTGACATTTGTTTGTGGTTTTGATTATCAAAGAATATTTGAGGTAGACCACTAGTCTTTGTCTCCAATGTGTCCCTGACTGGGACTCTGGTACTATTAAGAGCTCTGCTGCAGGGAGAGATTCTTGGTGAAATTTATACTCAGTAACAACTGAGGAGATCCTACCATATTAAAGAAGCTTTGTGTATGATGTACAGCCTGTGGATCATAACAAAGACAGCTTGCTTCTAAGCAGTCTCCATCCAAAGGGGCACCTGAAAATCCTATAGGTCACATGACTAAAACACCCAAGATCTTAAGAATACCAGACAAAATTGGCAGATTCAACCAGTGTTTCCTTTTTGTTTGCAAAGTAAATTTTGAAAGCATTTAATAACAAAGATGTCTTTCAGAAGGGGTAGAATTTAAAACAGCTTAATTCTTGTAGTCCAGTGCATTTCAAGCATTCTTCTAGAGCATCCATTACAAGAGGAACTAAAACTAGATGGCAATGGAATTACTCAGTGATAGTGTCTTCAGACAACAGAAGGCTCATGTGGAAGGTCAGATGCTTATTCATTTCAACTGCATTCTTTTCACTTTCCAGCATTATCCTAATATTGCTACAGAGTACGTTATTCTGAAGAACCTTCCCCTGCTATCAGATGGAGATGCTTGAATAAAGCTCTTCTATCTGTTTCTTGAAGTATTCTCTTAGCTCTGGTCTCTTAGCTTTTAGTGTAGGTGTTAATAAGCCATTTTGTACAGAGAACATTTCAGAGTGGATATATACAGCTTTAACCTGAAAATAAGAGCAAGAAAAAGGAAGATTGATTTTTGTTTAAAATATAGAAATATAAAATAAAGCATAATGGTTAATCCAAAAGCAATATTTCCTATGGGCATATATGCACATGTAGACAAGCATAAATACAGTTGACAAAACGTGCTGTCCTGAAAGAGGATGCAATACCACAACATGCTTTACACAAACACTTTAATCCACAGTGACTCCATGTTAGGCCCATCATATTGTAGAAGGCTTTCATAGACGGAATTACTGGAGTGTTGTGCAGTTTACGGGTTTTAAGGCTTTATTCTAGCAGCATTATCTCCTGAAGTTTTGTCTGCATCTGTGGCTGGCATCTTCAGGAGAAAATGCTGCTAGAACATGGCCTTACAGCCCAGAAACCACACAACATCCCAGTTAGGTCCATCATTGCACAGTGGGGCTGAATCCAAACTGGTATTTTTTTACATGGAAGCCCTTTGGGTCTAACAAAAAACCCTTTTATGGGGCTGAAGAAGGGGATATTGCTTATTGTGTTCGTCTATAATGTTGTTGTTGTTCATTCGTTCAGTCGTCTCCGACTCTTCGTGACCTCATGGACCAGCCCACGACAGAGCTCCCTGTCGGCCGTCACCACCCCCAGCTCCTTCAAGGTCAATCCAGTCACTTCAAGGATGCCATCCATCCATCTTGCCCTTGGTCGGCCCCTCTTCCTTTTGCCTTCCACTTTCCCCAGCATAATTGTCTTCTCCAGGCTTTGCTGTCTCCTCATGATGTGGCCAAAGTACTTCAACTTTGTCTCTAGTATCCTTCCCTCCAGTGAGCAGTCGGGCTTTATTTCCTGGAGGATGGACTGGTTGGATCTTCTCGCAGTCCAAGGCACTCTCAGATTTTCCTCCAACACCACAGCTCAAAAGCATCGATCTTCCTTCGCTCAGCCTTCCCTAAGGTCCAGCTCTCACATCCGTAGGTTACTACAGGGAATACCATGGCTTTGACTAGGCGGATCTTTGTTGCCAGTCTGATGTCTCTATTCTTTACTATTTTATCGAGACTGGACATTGCTCTCCTCCCAAGAAGTAAGCGTCTTCTGATTTCCTGGCACAGTCTGCATCTGCAGTAATCTTTGCACCTAGAAATACAAAGTCTGTCACGGCCTCCACATTTTCTCCCTCTATTTCCCAGTTGTCAATCATTCTTGTTGCCATAGTCTATAATAGAATGGGAAATCCCAACAAGCTAAACAGAGGCATTTATTGTGAGTGACACTTAATACTTCTTGTGCCATTTTCAGGAAATTCAGCAGATTACTCTGAGGAGGGAGACAATAAGTCCACTTCTCACAACCCCATTGCATTACACCAAAAGTATGGACTTTTTCTAACACAGGGAAAAACATTGGATATTACAATCTGCAGTTAGTTACTCCGTTTTACTGTGAATTAAATCATGAAGAAAGAAAACAAAAGCACCTGTGTTCCTTAAACAGTTTACATATCACAGTATTCAAAAGAAATGCAAATGTTCTTGGGGGAAATTGCCAGTGTTTTCTTTATCATTGTTGCTGTGTGCTTTAAGTAATTTTGTACTTATGGTGACTGTAAGGTAAATCTAGCATAATGCTTTCCTGGCAAGATTTGCTCAAACTTCCTCTGACAGAGTGTAACTTGCCCAAGGTCACCCAGTTGTTTTCTATGGGCAGGGATTGGCTTCCAGAGTCATATTCCAACACTCAAACCACTACAGCATACTGGCCCTCATATTTCTCTATATATGAATAAATTTATACTGCAATTCTATGCATACATAAGTAGGAATAAGACCCAGTCAGTTGAACACCTTGAAATAATTATTCTAAATAGGTTCTTGTAGGTTTTTCGGGCTATAGGGCCATGTTCTAGAGGCATTTCTCACTACCTCTGAGGATGCTTGCCATAGATGCAGGCGAAACGTCAGGAGAAATGCCTCTAGAACATGGCCCTATAGCCCGAAAAAACCTACAAGAACCTAGTGATTCCAGCCATGAAAGCCTTCGACAATACATTATTCTAAATGCTTGAAAAATAAAGTTAGTAATACATGACAAGTAATCATTTTGAATCTTGTTACTGTATAACTTGCCATTTAATGGTGCATGCATTTCAAAACTGAAAAGCAAACACCAAAAAGTTACATTTTTTTTAGTCCTGAGAAGGATTCTCATCACAATCTGTATAAATTGTTGAAATAACTAGCATAGGGAGATACTTGTGCATCACTGCATTCAGTATTAAAACATATTACTCTTTAATCAATATTTTATCCAGTATGCTTCCTATATCTTTGGAGGATATGTCTCAAGACACACACTCCCCCCCCCCTTGTGGAAACTGGAAACCATGGATAATAGTGAACCTTCAGCTATTTTGACTCTACTTGGACCAGAAACATACCACAGAATAGCCCCAGGGTTCCTAGATACCCTCAGACATTTCTGGAAAAGAATATTCCTTGGAGTGTAGATAAGTGAAACCATGGATATCAAATGATAAGTCCATGGATAAGTCCATGGATAAGGGGTGGGTTTTTTTACTCTAAAAATGCCACATGACTTACTTCTCTTGCACTATCAACATGTGTACATCATTATATGTAAAAGATCACAAGAGATCAAAATGAACAAATGGCCAAGAAGAATATTATTCTCATTTTGATTATGGCTGTCTTCCTATGCAGCTAAAGATCTCTGATTAACCAGAGCATGGTTATTTTCCTTATTTTATTATTATATTTTTCATTTGTATTCCGCTATTCCACATAAGGTTGTTCATTGTTTGTCTTACCAGTTACTCCTTCTTTTCAATGTCTATAGTTATACTTTTAAATTGTTTTGCTATTTGCTATTTGTTTGTATGTAAATCACTTTGAATTAATTTTAAAAAAATAGAACTAGTATAGAACTGCCCTAAATTTTCTTTAAAATACCGCTACACTATGCTCTGCAAGATACAAATACAAAATGTTACATCTAATTTTAGTCCAGAAATAATTGAAACCTACTTTATGCTTAATTAACCAGTATCGTTCGTTTTAATAGGCCTACCTAATTGAGACTAATATTAGATTTACCTGAGGGATGGCTGTATTACATTTGTCGTTTTAAAGTAACAGATTTGGAACAGAGCATTAATTTAGATTTTGCCGTCCCAATCCTATTGAAACACACACATAATGTTTCTGAGTTTGTATTTGTAGATGGAGAAAAAAGAAGGGGGATACTGTGTCAATTTCTGAACATTCCCTTTCTGAGGTCTTCCAGTCTGTTGCAAAAATATCTATGTGCACGTCATGAGGAGATTAGTCTTTGCGCAGAGAATGAGCAGAACAGCTGTATTTTCCAGGTCAACTGTAAGAGTGGCAATTAAGGATCAGAGCAGACTTTTCAGCTCTGCTCCCAGGTTGGATAGGATGGGATTGCAAATGGTTTAGCATGCTGTTGATCATTGAAAAACTGTCATAACCTTTCTACAGTGTTGGAGAAAGACATTCTAACACATAAAATACAAGTGATCTTATGACCGAACCGCAATAAGGCATTTGAGCTTTTATACAATTAACATGAAAACCTTTGGGCATTCATCTTAAAGAGGTTCATCTGATCTGAACCATCAAAGCTATCAGTATTCAAGTTTTACCTGTTCAAATGAATGAAGTCCACTCTCTTTCCCTAACTGGACCATGTCTTCCATTATTGCTTTTTTCAGTTCCTAAACAAGAACACATGAAAAACACTTATTTACAACAAGGAAGTTCTATTCAGAAAAAGGAACATCATCTAATACAGTGTTCTTCTCTTTGACAAGTTATGCATGTTTGGACAGGTGTGCAAACAAGGTGGTGAACAAATCTAATGGCACAAAGAAAGAAAGAACTATGTAATGTTGGGGCTACTGATGCGCCTACTGCCAGCTATTGCCTCCAATAGACTTTTCCAGTGGACCAACTGATGTTCATAGGAGAAAAGATATGCATCCCTATTATGGGTAACAGATGGATTATGTTTCTGTCATTCTTTGTGCACAAATGCATGAAGAGTATTCTTGAATTACATTTACATTTTCCACAAATGTACATATAAATAAGCAGAACAGGTGTTTGAGTTCTTATTTTGGAGGAAGTCTGGTTCTCAGAGATCAAATACTTGAGTTTAAAACAAAAACAGATGGGTTTTAAGTGCATGGTTATACATGCATACATCAGTTAACAAAGTCCCTTGAGAAACTGCAAGTTGCATCTGGTGTGAGAGAATTGGTCGTCTGCAAGGATGTTGCCCAGGGGATGCCCGGATGTTTTGATGTGTTACCATCCTTGTGGGAGGTTTCTCTCATGTCCCCGCATGAAGAGCTGGAGCTAATAGAGGGAGCTTATCTGCGTTCTCCCCAGATTTGAACCTCCGACCTGTTGGTCCTCTGTCCTGCCGGCACAGGGGTTTAACCCATTGCGCCACTGGGGGCTCCTGTCCCTGACAATGAAATTGCTTTTTACAAAAATTGGAAGAAGCCTTCAAGTTGTCTCTAGAACATTCAAGTTTGTTCATTTATTTATTGCAAGGTTACCTAACCAATAGTTTCCTCTCACACGTGCAGATTGTTTGTTTTAAATTAACTTTTGCTAAAGCATGTTGAGGTGCTCTTATTTTTTGTGTTGGAAGAAGCTATTCCTGTTCTTTCCAAGTTATTTCTACCCCTGGCTTTACATTTTCTGTTAGTGAAGCAAAACTTCACTAACAGAAGTGTTCCTGCACCTCTTTCAGGATTATTTATTACATAGTTATACAAATCCAACAACAGCTTTTTATGTGCTTGCCCTTAGGTTACCATCTTCTCTTTAAAAGACTGCTTGATTATTTTTATCAAGTGACTGAATTAACAGATCCCAAGGAAGTGGAAATGATTGTTCGCAGGATGCAGTTTCATTACAACCAGGGTCCTGAGCTCCCAGTGAGACCTTCAGTCCCTTACCCAAACCCTTTGCCTCCTGCTGCTTGGGTGAGGAAGAACCAGAGCTTGGAGAAGTTACATTTTTGAAAGAAAGAAAAAGTCATCAACGAACATTTTCCAAGGTCTGAAAAGAACATCTAGTTACCACTACTGTACTAATTTCAGTTCAACATCAGGTCTTTAGAAACATTGAAAGCTGCAGTGTACCAAGCCAACATTGGTCGTTCTGGCTCAGTATTGTCCATTCTGATTGACAATATCTCTGCGGATTTTCATGCAGAGCTCTTTGCCAACCCAAGATAGGAACTCCAGGAATGGAACTTGAGTGCCATTGCTTTGCACACAGAGCCAATGTACTGGAACACTTGTAGCACTTTAAAATTTGCACATCAGCAGGTTAGTCATTGTCTATATGGAATGCTACAGCATTTTTCTCCAATATCAACCACATAGAAATTGCACAATTTGGAACTAACTTTGGAGTTTCAAACCTTCACAATGCAAAAAGGGATATCATCTTGTAGTGGTGGAACAGTACTCATGAAGAGAATGGGGAAAAAACCAAGGCACTTTGTTCTTACAATGCCCAACTGTGCTTATCTAGTAGAATCTTTTTAATAGATGTTCCAACCATTGACAATGTAATCACCCTTCTGGACAGGGTCAAATTAAAATGTATGGTATATTAACACTGTTCTTCTTCACTCATTGTTTATCTTGTGTTTATTAGAATGTTCTTTTATGACTGCTTTTTATTGTAATTTTGATGATGTTGTTGTTATTTGTTGTTTATGTTTTGATTTTATTGCTGTAATGTGTTGTCTGGGATTGGCCCCATGTAAGCCGTTCCGAGTCCCCATTCGGGAGATGCTGGCGGGGTATAAATAAAGATGATGATGATGATTATTATTATTATTATCTTTCTTTACAAAAGAAATGTGTATGTGCCCAGAGTAGAGGTAGGGGGAGATTGCTTCGAGTTTATGAATTTAAAAAACCACCATTTCCCTCATCTCATTTTCCTCATTAAAAATGATACCTGCCAAGGTACTACTTGAAAACAGGAGAAATATGAACAGGACCCTGGTTGTAATGAACAGGAGAAATATGTCAATAGCACAAAATTACATCTCACCGGTGCTTCAGACATAACCCAAATCTTCTAATTCACCTATGACTACTACTTTTACATAAATATGACCAGTTCTAAGCATATTAAGATAGAACATACAACATACAGTTGTAGATGAACTCTTACATGTTATAGCATTTTAGCACTGCCTTTATTATTGGCCTTGAGATTCACCATGTTGTTTCTTGGCAACTTCTGAGTCAGTAATTTGAATTTTGAACTGCCTATAATGCTTCCATGTTTATAATGCATATGAGCACCTATCAAAGAACTTACTGCATTTTTACAAAGGTCTGCAAAAGTTCCATCAAAGCCCTTCTTCTTGGCCCAGCCTGGCATGATTTCAGTGTCAGGCACAACAATTCCCACCAAAAAGGCCTGCCAGGAGAGAGAAAGGAAAAAAAAATTAGGGACTGCATTTATGACAAAGCCTCCTGGCAGGGCCCCGTGTGCTTGGCCGTTCTTCATCTGCTCTTAAAGATGAGCACTGCTTTGATTTTCGACTGCATTTTTCATAACTGCTTCAGCCACTCAAACTGATAGGATAACGGTTAGAGCAGAACAGAGTGCTGTGCTGTCCTTTAATAACAGTTTCCATATAAATGGCTCAGCACTTCAAATTCCACTACAGGACTGGCTTCAGACATTACATAGAAAACCTCGGCCCATCTCTGTTAGCATGTATATGCATATGCTGTTATTCACTGCAGTATCTGCATATGTTGTAATTTGGTGATTTAACTATGCAAATGTCATAGGTTATGAATCTTAGAACATCTCATGTCTGAGGCATCAGTTAAATAATAATGCAACATTCCTTTCATTATATTGTGATTTTCTTTTCTTTTTTCTTTTTTTAAAAACTGAACTTACTGGTTCATCTTATATCCATTCTGCACATAATACTATGCACACAAGTGATGGAATTACAAGTATATGCGTGCTATACCCACTTATCATAAATTGTGGTGATAAAAATGGTAATGGGCACACTTCTCTTCCGACAAATAAATGAATGGTGCAAAATGTGACTGCAGAAGTAGCCTAGCACTGAAGCCAAGCTGACTCAGCTGAGGTAAAGATAGCACTTGCTCTGTCCCTAAATGCAACTCAGGAAACTATATTATAGACATTCAGCTCACAGAATGTTACCATTTTTTTAAGAACATGTAGAAAAGCATAGGGTTACCTGTAAACTATCTCCATGCACATATATCTGGGAGACAGGTTCACTACGAATGTAGATATTTTCAATTTTTTCTGGTGCAATGTATTCTCCCTGAGCCAATTTAAATATATGCTTCTTTCGATCAATGATTTTTAGCGTACCATTCTGTCAGTAAAAAATAACAACAAACAGTTATGTAGATCTAGGAAAAGGGATTGGGCTTTATTACACTGTACTGTACTGCAGCACTCATGAACTATAGTATAGAACAAGAATTATTACCAGTTTTACGTGTTGGGGTTAGAAAAGGAGATCAAGGACACACCCCTGTTCTTTCTGAAAGCTGTACCAAAACAGTTTGTGGCTATAGCATAATCCTACACTTTCTTCCTGGGAACAAAAGTCCTTCTATGGTCAGTGAAGCTTACTCTCAAATAAATGACTTAGGATCGTAGCTGCAGAGATTAAGGGGTAACATTTATGCCCTGTCTTTCTTCCAAGGAGTTGGATGAAAATAGTTGCTGGTTCATAGTTACCCAGTGAATTTCACAGAGGAGCAGAAACCAGGCCCAGGAGACATTTCATTTAACACTAATTCATAAATGTTACTACCAAAACATTCCTTATTTCCAAGCAGAGCTTGGAAAGTTAGTTTCAAAAAATAATTAGATGCAATAATAGTCTTAATTTTTGCTGAGGTAGTTCATTGATGTTATATGGTATATATCATCTTAAAAGTCAACCCTGTTTTCCTGTTTCTTGAAAGTTCTCAAAACAAGTTCATTTTAAATACTATCAGTAAGCTTTCTTGTTGTGATCTCAACACTCACAATAACAAACAAGGCATCATTTGAGCCATTCCTTATCTTAAAAGTTAAAAGCAAAATAACATCAAAGATATTTCTAGATCACAGAAGGAGTAATTATTCTTGGCTAAATTAGTCTGAATTTACTACATCTATACTTTTGCTACTTGAAAAGGAATGACTGGTAGTATTTTCAAACTTTTGCTTTAGTGTTTCAATAACGTCAGTAGACTTTATTGATGTAGTTTGACAATTGCAACCTTAGCATAGCACTTGTATGTGAAGGTAGCAGTTCAGTACATACAGATAACCACTTCCCGACGTCCCCTGTATGAAGCCATCCCTCCTTGTCTAAGGCTTCAGCGGTTCTCTCATCATCCTTCAGGTAGCCCTTAAAAACATTTGGACCTTTCACACAAATCTGCAAGAGAGATAAATTGGCAAGTAAATGCTAGAATGAATTTCTATTTTCATAACAGACTTACACTAATCTATTGTAATCACACAAACCATGAAAAAAGTCTCTCAGTCTGAAAAATAGAGTAGGCTACTTGTTAGTATACAAAGAACCCTTGTTTTATAATCACTTACCCTTGAAACCAACTGAATTTTTTTAAAAAGGAAACCAGCAGATGCCATTTCATTTCCCTTAAAGAAAATATCTCATTTTATTGTTTCAAAGCACAGATGTACCTCTGTGGTACAGCAGAGAAGACCTTTATTTTCACATCAAAATATTTGGCAGGAGATGGAATCATGTGCCTCTCCAGACATTGGCCTGCAGCCCTAGCCAGCATAATTAATGGCGAGGAAGGATGAGAGTTGCAATCTGGCAACATCTGGAGAGCAACAACTGCTTTCATCCCTGTTCTAAGTCTAGATGTTTTAAGGACTCAATGAGCCAACTGAATCATGTGTGTTTCAGTTGTGTGTAGTGTTTCATCACAAAGTGTAATACACCATCTGTAGTAGAAAAGAAAATTCCAAATTTTTGGTTATATCTGAACCATAGCGGTGCAAAGAATTAATATATGTGCCTCATATTCTTGAATGTTGTGAAATTCCGGATGGGATGTCTGCACGGGGCTTACTCAGTTCTAGTTTCCACTCAAGTGGATCTAGGGGCAACATTTGAGCACTAGAACTGTATTCCAATTGATACCCAAAGCACCTACCAATTCACTTGAGTATCTCCTTTTGGCAGTAGTGCTATTGGAGCAACACTAGCAGAGAAGAATAGTTAACAAAGAACAAGTTTATAAGGACAAATAAGCATCAAAAGACCTAAGCTTCACCTCTGGAATATAAATGGGAAATCAGATATAGATTGATATTTATAGTGTTGGCTATTCCCCTCCATCCCACCACAGTGCAATCCCCACTACCTCCCTTTAGACTGCCTTTAGATGATCTAATGGGTAGAGCTGGCTTTTATTAACTACTTATATGTGGTTTTTAGCCTAGATTTTAAAATTTGTTGAAGTTTGAAGCATATAACCCCTTGGGTTTGATTTGGATGTGCGGGACTGGGTCCCCCTGTTGTGATCTGGTCATTGACAGTAATAAAGTTTACTTACTTACTATAAGAACAAATATCTTTGTCTCTGTGGGCAGATAGGTAGATCTAACCATAGCTTCATTGGCTACTGGTTTGTTTCCTAAGACAATTCAAATGCTGGTCATGACCTATAAAGCCTTATACAGTATAAATCCAGAGTATCAAAAGATTGTATTCACTCTTCCAATCTGTCAGAATCTTGAGATCTACAGGGGGAGGCTCTCCATTGGTCCCACCACCATCACATGCTCAGTTGGTTAGTAATCAAGGGACAGCCTTCTCAGTGGCTGCTCCCACTCTCTGGAGCACCCTTCTATGGAAGGCTAAGTGAGTCCCCTTCCTGCTTTCTTTTCACCTATGGACGAATATATTTTTATTTAATGTACAAGCAGAGATCGCTTTTTATTGATCATGTTAGAGGTATCTTTTTAATTTTGTGTGTTGATTTTACAATTTTAATTGTTTTTACATCATGTGATACCTGCTCTTATTGTTTTTGGAAGCCACCTTGGGTCCTGCTCTCAGAGAAAGGGGTCATATAAAATACATACATAAATACTATTCTATGGCTCCTGGATACCCATACTTGTTGCAGATTCACAATCTAAGGTGGCATGTTGCAAGTCATGCATTGCCTTGTCCTCTCCTATCAGTTTTTGCTTCTACTAAGCAACATCACTACTACCAAGCACTAGTAGTGGACCACTGGTACTTCAGAAATGACACTAAATTCCTGATGTGTTCATTCATTTCTTGAGAAAATCCCTCCAAGTCCTAGAGCAATTGATTCTGCTGTCCATCCTACTTAGTATAGATGACTCACACAGACCTTGCCCCTGACAGTCCAGCATCTTGTATAAATTACAAATGAAGGGGTAAAGAGAGTTACATTATGCACATTACCTCGCCTTCCCCTTTGGAAGAAAAATAATTCAGTTCTTCTACATCCACCAGCTTGATTAGATTACAGGGCAAAGGTGCTCCTACATGACCTGCAAATCAAATTGAAATACATTTATCAGTCTGTTAAAGTGCAAAAGTAGAATAGAGCCAGTGTGGTTTAGTGTTGAACTAGGACACTTAGGGTCCTTCCACGCAGCCCGATATCCCAGAATATCAAGGCAGAAAATCCATCACTATCTGAGTGTGGATTCAGATAACCAAGTTTAAAGCAGATATTGTAGGATTTTCTGCCTTGATATTATGGGATATAGGGCTGTGTGGAAGGGCCCTGGGAGACAAGGATTTGGATCACCGCTGAGCTGTGGAAACCCACTGGGCAACCTTAGGCAAGTCATACATTGTAAGCCTCAGAAGAAGGCAAAGGCAACCCTCCACAAATTGTGCTAAGAAAACCTTGTAACAGGTTCACCTGAGGGTCACCATATGTCAGAAATGACGTGAACGCACAAAACAACAACAATGACCACACTCATTACCCAACAGTCTGAACTAGCAATATGCTAACTTAATGAAAAGTAGTGCCCATTTATTGTTCCCCATAGCATGAGAGTGGAAGAAAGTGAGTCCCATGTTTCCTTGAGGCCAATGTTCTTTATTTAATATCTATCTATCTATCTATCTATCTATCTATCTATCTATCTATCTATCTATCTATCTATCTATCTCTCAGGGCCCAAAGAAGCTGCACAAGACCCAAAGAAGGCAAACCCAGAAGAAAACCCCGAAACTGTGGTCTAAAGAAATATTATGTGCGTACAGATTATTGTGCCATTAATTCAAGTTGAGTTTTGTCAGGATGCCAGTAGTTCTTACTGCCAAGGAGATAGAAAGTTGACTTGTGTGCTCCTCTGGCAAGAAAAAGTGCTAAACCTCAAACAGATAACATTGTAACGGGGCATGCTGTTATCCTGCATACAGAGTTATTGCACCTTAGGATTCTGGCCGTACTATTTTCCATCGTACTTTACCAAATTTCCTCATATTCCAAAGTAGACTAAAAAAAAATCTATCTAGCATTTTTACCTGATGTCCAGTCTCCTGGAGTGGTAAAGGTACATCCAGCTGTACATTCAGTTTGACCATAGCCTTCATAAACCTATCAAAAATATATAATTTCAAAAAAACTGCATTTAGCACTTACACCGAGCATTTTATTTGAAGACTGGAAAGGTAAACAAGCAAAAAAGATGTTCTCTTCTTTGCAACATTCTGCGTAGGAGGTGACTGATATCGCACTGAACATAACCTACATTGCAAATTTTGCACAAACAGAACTTCAGAATTTTGAAAGTAGAAATGGAGAAAGAAGACAGGGATGAAGGAAACAGTCATCCTGACTTACCTGACATCCTAAGGCTGCTCGAAGGAAACCCAAGACAGTAGGAGAAGCAGGAGCAGCTCCAGTGACAATCATCCTAACACAACCACCCAGGCTTGCCTGTTAGATAAACAACATTTCAAAATAAAAGTATAATGGAGCCACCCAATATTGCGCAGGTTCACACAGCATGTGTGGGAAAACATCAACACATGCCTACCTATTTAAACAGATTATGATCTTACTGCATGATTTAATCCTACTATTCTTACCTATGGTTCCAAAGTTCTTGTCTTCCCTCCCACACTCTTAAAAAAAAATCACCTCGCATGCTGAGAAGAGCTGCAACATTTATCTCCTTGTCACTCACACACAAAAAGCAAAACACTTGGAGTAAGAGACAAATCTCCCCTTCAATCTATCCTGTGTTAATATATGTACACTGTTGGAAAATGTACCAAGAGAAATAAAGGAGGTGGTGGGGAAGTGACCAACAGAAGAACCCATGGAACTTGCTCCTTCTCCTTCCCCACACTGTAAATTCTTAGGTTGCCATTTTTTGAGATTCTGTTTTGAAAGTAATGATCCTGGTGACATGACTGCATTCAAGATAAAATATGATTATTGAACAATTACACTTAATCGCCTCCTATAGAGTCTAGCTATTCTAAGACGACTCTGTGATATGTATTTTTTTTTGAGGTGGCGACCATATTTGATATTAACATACATTTTGAGTATCCTTTCTCCAAAATGCTCAGGAACAAAAGTGTTTGGGATTTTGCATTTTTTTTAAAAAAATTAAGATTGCCGGCACACTGCACTTACCCTATAATCCTACATATCACCTGTCACATCGGCACTTTTAATCTGGCCCGGCCCAATGTTATTGTGTCTTGGTGTATTGTTTTATTGCTTGTTGTTTTAATATTGCTTTAACTGTTTTTGATTTCCTTTAGGTTGTGTATTGTTATGTTATGTTTTGAGGCCTTGGCCTTTGTAAGCCGCATCGAGTCCTTCGGGAGATGCTAGCGGGGTACAAATAAAGATAATAATAATAATAATAATAATAATAATAATAATCACAGTATTTCATATATGCACATAACAAGATATTTTGGAGATGGGACCCAAGTATAAACATGACATTTACTTATGTTTCACATATTTCTTATACACATAGCCTGAAATTAATTTTATATACAATATTTTTAATAATTTTGTGAATGAAACAAAGTGTGTGTGCACTGAAACATCAAATAGCAAAAGTGTTACTGTTTCAGCTACCCGAGTGGACAATTTTGGAGGATTTTATAATTCCAGATAAGGGGTGCTCAACCCATACTAATTTAATTTAACACAAGCCATCTTGATTTTCAACATCAGTGTATGCGTAACTATAAGGTGGTGGTTACAATATCACAATCGGTCCTAAATTTGTGTTATTCTTATCAGTTACAAGCTTAGAGCAAGCAAGTCAAATATTAAAGAAATAACTGATTTCCCTAGGCAAAAAAATTAAGCATAATGTAAAGGTAATTTGATAGTCTAAAATTGCTTTACTATCACAAAATCACAAATGAACAGGACCATTTCTGATTAGGTCATGAAGCATTTTTTTTTGTTTCATTTATGTCAAATTAATTGTATGCTTAGTGCCTTGCTTCTAATTTATGATTACTATTTTCTAGAAGAAACCCCCACAACCGATTCAAGCAAATATTACTGACTGAATCTGGAATTAGTCTGTAGGCCCTTTTGAGAGGATTTGAATAGGATCTCCCTTCTCATCTGCCCAAACCAACTAGCACTATACAGGAGGGGTGAAGTAGAGGTATAAAAATGAGAGCCATGTTGGTGTGATATTTGGAGTATTGGATGAGGGCTGTATCCACACTGCAGAATTATACCAGCTTGACATTTAATTGCAAAAGCTCAATGCTATGGAATTCTCTGACCACGAACTCTGGTGCCACAACAAATCAAAAATCCCAAGATTTCATAGGGCAGTTAAAGTGGTGTCAAACTGCTATGTTTCTGCAATATGGATGGCCTCTTGGATGACCATTTTAATCCTTGCTTGGCCATGGAACCCCACTGGATATAATTGGGCAAGTAAGCCTCTCCTAGACTCAGACAACAGCAACCGTAGATATCCTCTGAACAAATCTTGCCAAGAAACCAAGTAATAGATTTGTCTCTGGCTTGCCATAGGTCAGAAGAAACTTAAAGGCAGGAACAAGAGCTAGAAATAGTAAGGTAGGACTTCAGTTAGGAAAGTGGCAAAGGGGCTTGAGGGGACAGTGGAGAGTTGGTAGGACTCGGCCAATGTTTTTATGTTTTACTAGCTGTACCCGCCATGCGTTGCTGTGGCCAACCTCCCCTCCCTCTTTCTCTCCTTCCTCCCCCTTTTTTCCTTCCTTCTCTCCTTCCTTCCTTCTCTTGCCTTCCTTCCCCCTTTTTCTTTTCCTTCCTCTTTCTCCCCATTCTTCCTTCTCTACCTATTCTTGGACTGCAACTCCCAGAAGTCCTCCTGATCGATCTACCTACCTACCTACCTACCTACCTACCTACCTACCCTACCCTACCCTACCCTACCTACCTACCTACCTATCTATCTATCTCTATTTAATCTATATCTGGAGGATTGCTGGGAGTTGCAGTCCAGGAATAGGAAATTAGAAATATGCAGGGATTGGGATGTTCTCAAAGAAATCCAAGGAGAAGAAAGCTTGCAGCTTGGAAGCAGTGCATTTGGATCATCCTCCTCTCCTCAAAGGCCTGGTCTAGGGGATGCTGGGAGCTGTAGTCCAGAAGAGGGTGTGGATATGCTATTGTGTGCTTTGTTTGCTGGGGGGATGGGGTGGGTCGTTTTTGCACATGCGCTGTAGCGGTTTTTTTGCTTTTTAAGTCCTGTCCACTGTGTTTTTCAGTGTTTTTGTGAGTGATGGTCACTCGTTGGCCTGATAGGTGTATTGTGTCCAAATTTGGTGTCAATTCGCCCAGTGGTTTTTGAGTTATGCTAATCCCACAAACTAACACTACATTTTTATTTATATAGATGGGAGCTTTTCTCTGAATTTTAAAGTATTTTTATGAAAACAAAATAGATAAAAACCTGGAAAAAAACATACAACACTCAATCAATCATAAGCAACATTGTTCTTTGTAGAACTGGTTACAACTATTTCCAGATTGGTCTGGAATCAGCCAAGGAATATTTTAACTTCCTGTCCCAAAGGAGCATGAAAGAAGATAGTAATAACCCATCCCTAAACCCAGAATACACTTTGCAAATGTATAGAACAACCAAAGTAATATTTGTTATCACACAGAACAAGCAATTTTCCCCCAAGATCTTTACCTGTATTTTATTGAAGAACAGTTTATCCCACAGACTGTCATTCCTAATGATCCCGCTTTGAACTTCCGCCTTTTTACGCTTGGCAGCAAATTCCAGCAGCCAGCGTTTTAGTGGGGTGTCTGCTTGGCTGAAGATCTAAGAGAATACAGAAGGAAGAGTGGGTGGGGGAAAAAAGATCACATGGATTCAAAAGAAAGAGAGACCAAATTTATCACTGGCATAAGCAGGCAGGGTCCCACAAATGTCAGCCGCATAATTAATTGTTTGAATTAATCATAACAATACCAGTGCTAAGATTTGACAACAGCTCTTCAGCTGGAATTCATTTTGAATAACTCTTTCTTTTCTTTTCATTCCCAAAGATAACAAGCAACTTAGACAACAAAGTCACTGAAAAATATTTAGAGATTTCGGTGCCTTGAGAGTTTCTATTGTGTAATTAGCTTGGCATAACTACAGAATTCTTCAGAAAATTATAGCAACAGAATAAAAACATCTGGTAGCTGCAGAGAAGTCCCCTGATTTTTAATGAGCTAATTATGGCTAGTAATTAATTTTATTAAGGTTTCATGTAGAGACAATTATGCCAAATCAAACTAATATTAATCAAGAATTTGTTTTATAAACATGCCTCAAAAATATTAAAAATTAATGCTAGGCCTTCTTCATGTTGGATTATAGTATTTAAATATTGATTCTCAAGTACTTTTCCCTATTTGGAAATATGCACTAAATACAAGAGAGCCATGCTCTGCTGGGTGGCAACTGTTGTCAGGGAAATGTAATCAAGAGTTTAGACTCTGACATCCCAATGTCAACAGTCCAATGCCATTATGGGAAAGCCCTTGATATCATGCAAGTTCCAAAGAATCACTTGCAACAATCCCCACATTATGCAGGCATAGAAAATGTTGGGACAACAGGAAGGTAATCTATGTGGAGTCTTATCATTGATCCATCTAGTCCAGGTCTATCAATTATGATTGGAAGGAGCTCTCTAGGATTTCAGGGAGGATTCTTTCCCAGCTTTGCTTGTTAACCCTGAATGTCCATTGGTGAACTCCTATCCAAGTACTAGCTATACTTGACCTCCTTAGCTCCCCATATCAGGGGTTCTAGAGGTATAACAGACTATCAAAATAATGAAATTGGTCCTAGAGCAAATCAGACCTTTCTAAAAACCAATTTGACTAAACTGGAGCCAATATATGTTGGACATATCATGAGATGAAAGGACTAACTGGAAAAATCATGATGCTTTTTATCATGTCAGGAGAAACTTCAAATCGCTTCTGGTGTGGGAGAACTGGCTGTCTGCAAGAAAGTTGCCCAGGGGATGCTCAGATGTTTTACCATCCTGTGGGAGGCTTCTCTCATGTCCCCGCATGAGAAGCTGGAGCTGACAAATGGGAGCTCACCCCATTCCCTGGATTCGAACCACCAACCAGTTGGTAGTTCTGCCAGCATAAGAATTTAACCTATTTTGCCACTGGGGGGCTCCTGTGATAATGCTAGAAGATGGGGAGGGCAGGAGGAAAAACAGAAGACTTTCCAAGGTAGACCAATTTCTAAATATTGTGCTCACATTTTAAGTTGCTTCAATGATAGAAATCTGGAGACTGAAAAAAAACTTTATCAAGGGGAGAACCAGAATTCTTAAGGAGGACAATGTTCTCATTTGCTTCCCACCCGATGCTATTCTTCTATAACAGCCAAGCAGAAAAAGCAACAGAAAGAAACACTCACATTGTTTTTTGGTTACACAGGACAAAACACTTGTAGACAACCACTTGATCTATTTAATCACTTAAACAACCATTATTCTTACCTTATCATACATTCTGTTTAGCAGCCTTGGCACAACAGGGAAGATGGTTGGGCGCAATGCTTTCATATCATCGGACAGCAAGCGAATGTCCCCTTGGAAGAACCCAATTCGGCCCCCATGGCAATACACTACAGACTGGAAGTGGAGAAGGCAAAGAAAATAAATCAGTTTCTTTAATTTAATCACGTGCATGTGACCATTCCTTTGACACTATTCGAATAAAACCCTATATTTTTTTTTGGTGGGGGGGTGGGGAGAGTAATAAACTACTCTCTTTGATTTGGACAATACTATGGATCAAGTAATAGTTCCATCTTTTCCCCACATACATATTTACACAGAGAACCTAATAACTGAACCAAGGGGTTTATTAGCCTAATTGGCATCAATTGCTGTTATGATGCTGACTGTGAAAAAGTGGCCTTTGCCAGTTATTGTTTGGCCCATGAATTCCATTAATTCAAGTGCACCATGCCACCTGAGGTCATTTGCATATACTGTACCCAGATGAACCTGTTTCCTAGATAAAGCCAAACGAATGTGCTTTATTGAGAGTGAGGAATACATGAAACTCTTCAGCTGGTAAACTGTGACTCTAGTCAGCACTACGCAGCATAGCAAATGTTATGTTGGTTGTAGTTTAACACTATCTGTAGGGCTACATATTTCCTAGCTTTCTTTTATTGCTGCTTTTTGCAACATCTTGCCTACTGAGGTGGCCTACTGTGTTGGAAGGGTAGAAGTACATATTTTGGGCACAATTCTTTGAAACACAAACTGTAGCATTTACAAAATGGCCTCAAGTCAGCTGGGTTCCTTCAACTCTTGTCAACATTAATCACAGTTTGTTCTGGTTCAGATGACATGGTAAGATCTGAAATCAATACAGGAAAATTAAACTTCTTTATGTTTTTACTGGGGCATGAAAGCAGCATGAGGTTTGGTTCATCCTTGCAATGTTTATCTCTGATCGAGGCCTCTTCCACATTGCCCTCTATCCCATGATCTGATACCAGATAATCTGCTTTAAACTGGATTATATGAGTCTCCACTGCTAGATAATCTGGGATAACCAGATAATCCAAGATCAGATCCTGGGATATAGGGGCGGGGTGGAAGGGGCCTTAGTCATACATCTGAACCAAATCACAGTTTTATTAACAGGTGGTGGAAGGGGGACAAGTTGACTTCCACTGGCACTAAGACCTTACCTGCACCATTCTCTCAAACATGTGTGCTAAAGGCAAATAGGAAATGTGTACATCCTCATATGTAGGAGACCACTGACTCTGGAAAAAAAGAAGACAAGGAGCCCCGCAAGGCCCGGGTCAGTCTAGACAGGCTTCTTACCTGTATCACTCTTTCAAACATGTGAGCCAAAGGCAGGAAGGAGATGAGCACATCGTCCTGTTTCGGAAAGATCACTTTCTGCAGATGACGGGCATGGGAGACAGAAAGGAAAGAAACACTGACAGGAAGACACAACAAGAAAGTCATAAAACAATAAAAAAGAAAAATGGCACCAAGAGGAGCAAAGGGGGTAAAGTTTATTAAGCGAGAAAAGAGAACAGCGTTTGAAGTGATGTGTTAGGCCACAACACCAATGGAACTATGTTAGCAGGAGTGGTGAATAACACAAGGACATATGCAGAGAGAGTTCTCCGCTGCACAGGGCACGTGCAGAGTTCTGAGTGCAGACATGCCCTTCCAGCCTGGGTCACAGATCAGACTCTCCAGCCCAAAGGAGGTTCTGTCTGTCTTTTGTACATCTGTTGGCCCAAGATATTTCAAAAGACGGGCACATCACTTTATCTTGAGCGGTTTCCATAAAGGGTTCTCAAATACTAAGCAATAAAGACAAGTGCTTATAAAACAAATAAGGATCCAAACTCACAAAGAGTTACCAGATGCTTTATTATTACTATTTTTTGGAGTGAAGCGCTCCAGAATTTCCCAAGCAACATGGCCAGTAGCCTGAATTACTTGGGAAATCTGGAAATTGTGGTCCAAAAGGCAACTTTTCCAAGTTCTGACATGAATGTGGAACACAGGCATAGTCAGTCATCTAATTTTGCAGTAACCAACTTGGTCCAGGGTCTTAGACAAGAATCTTCTTCACCAATGTCTGCAGATCCTAAGATCCTGAACCTTCTGCATGCAAAACTTGTGCTCTACCAAGAGGCACAGCTCTCCTTTTTCACACACCATCAACCAGCAAGTGGTTTGGTTTTTTAAGAGTTTTCAGCAACACAGTCAACAATATCTGGTATTCAAAAATACATGCCTTATGTGTGCAAGTCTCTAGGGCCAGGCCTCCAGGTAGACCTGGGGAGAAGAACCCTAACTCAAACCACAGAAAGCTAATGTAAGCACTTTTTGTGTTTTTATACAAAGTAGATGGGATAATTGGATAAACCAAACTTGAGTCAACTATATATTGTTTATCAGGCAGTTTTTAAAGACACAGCATTCCTACGAGAGACAAATATGGCACTTGTATGAATTGAACCTTACAACCTTGATGTATGTGTTTTTAGAAGCTTACAGATCTCCATATATAGTTTTAATTATTAGCAGACACTTGTCACTCTGATCACAAAGTGCCCTAGGTACACACTTTCTGTCTTCCTCTCTTTTGTTACAAATTCAAGAAAGGAAGAAAAAGAAAATAACTGGAATCCACGTTAATCATAAAAAGCAATAAATATGGAACAAAAGTGCCACAAAATTAAAAATCTAGAACACTAAACTTCCCAAGAATGACAAAATAAGATAACATATTACCACCTTTTCCAAAATTATTTCAATATATATGAAAATGATGAATAATTTGTAATTGTAAAAATACACTGGAAATGTAGTGTTTCTATTCCTAATTAAGATCTGAACCATAAAATGATTTTCTTCTAGATCCATCAATTCCAAAATGCTAAAACAGTACAGTTCTTCTCAGTATAGTTAAGAATGGATATATACAATTTTTATTTAAATAAACAGTGCTTCTGCAACTTCTAAATTCCTTAATTTTTTCCCTTTCAAATCAAGGCAAACAATGAATAGGAAGAATTACAAATATATTCCCTTAAGAGTTTTAATTTCCTCTCAAACTAGAAAAATAAGGTGAGCAAAGTGCAGCTTGCAGGCCATACATAGCCCCATTTAGGCGATCCAGTGGGGTCCACCAACACTGCCATGCCATTAATATAATATATTTTAAACCTTTTAGAAACGGAAACAACTCATCTCTGAGCTCTTTTTGGCCATTATACTTCCCTTACCTAAGCTTTAGTGCAAAGAGAGTCCTTTTTCCAAACCCAAAGATGACTCCAGACAGCCAGATAAATATGATAAAATAGCTCCCCTTGTTTCTTAGGGAGAGTATGTTTGAATGTGTCACCTAAATGAATAAATAGGAGACATAATGGTATGGCTGCCCATATGTGGCAGGGAACTTGTAAGGACCTCAAATCTTAGGCACTTTCCCATTCCTTGCATATATCAGTGTTAAGAATCTGATATCTCACCTATATGATAATAGTAATAGGAGATTTAGCTTGATCAAAAAATAAACTTGGGAAATCTGGGAATTGTGGTCCAAAAGTATTGTAATTATAATTTGAAGGACAATCAGTCAATGGAATTCAGTGACATTGGTCCTCTTAAATAAATCTTTATTTTTTTTAAAAAAATAGAAATACAGATGCAGATTTTTTTTCAGGAAGTTCATTTTTATATCCACTCTAGTCTGAGGTACGTAGAGGAAAAAAATGAGAAAGGTCATTGGCAGTGTAGTAGATGATGGAGTCAACATCAAAAGAAGTGTAGCACTTGAGCTGCCATGACCCATTTTAGGTAATAAGCACTATTATTTGATTTTGAAGCTAAGAACGTAATTATTTTAAACTTGTCACCCTAATCCTGGGTTTTTTTCTACTTCCTAAAATTATTTTAACATTGTGTTGGATCAAATAGAGCCAATGAAACTTGGATCAGCCATTATTTTCAAACTGAGATGTCTTCATCTTACAAGGGAATGGAACATAAATAAAATCTTGAAATCCTTTTTGTGTAAGGGGAAAAAATCCTTAGGTTTACTGATCATGCTTAGTTGAATTATTCTTTTTCATGTGGAGACCTATCCCATAGGAAAAGCTCAGTACCACTCTGATTGAAAATGACAGCAAGAGCAACAAGAGAGTAAGTGGAGGCTAAGCTGAACCTTCAAGGACACACTTTTACATGATGTAGGTCAGGGATACCCACATCCAAGGATCTGAGGGCCATTGGATCTCTCCAGATATTCAGCATGTTGCACCGGCATGTCCAGTGGTGTCTGAAGTGACATTTCAGGCAACAAAAACTCATTTCTAGTCACTCCCCAAAGGCTTTTTCAGTGGTTGCTTCCGAACATACCCACTCCAGAACAAACACCCACATCACCCCCACCTCTGCATGTAGCCCCATGGGCAGGATACTCATCCCTGCCATAGGTGGCTTCCACCTCAAAATAATGTACACTGCTCCTTCCGCTGCTAATTTTGCTAATCAAATCGATAAACGGAATAAAGTATTACCTCTGTTACTTTCAAAAAACCTGAAAAATCAGCAACCACATTCCCATGTGTCAGCATTGCTCCTTTAGGGTTACCTGGAGATTGAAGAAGAAAAAATGTATCTACATCAAGAGACCACTTAAAAGTTTCTACAGCCATCACAATAGAAGTTGCTTTCCGTTCTTTTTTTGCAGTCTAGTACAAAAGAGCCTAAGGAACTATAAATTTTGTCATGGTGTGGGATTTAAACTGTCAAACAAGGTAGTTAAATGGAATTTTTAAAGTAAATATATGACTAAATATATATGAATCTGTCACTTGATTTTTTTTTTCAGTGGAACATCTATTCTGGAGGAAAGAAATGTGGAAGGATTATAAGGACGGCAGAGCAGGCTAAAGTCCTGTCCGGTGAGCAGAAATCCATTCACACAACACAGGGTTTAGTTCAGGGTTCAGTGAATACCATTGCTATAAACATGTTTCTCATTCAAAGGACAATTAAGTATATGCTATAGGAATAGCCATGCAGAGGAGACCAACAATAACAAATTCTCTCTGGAAGTTTTTCTCGATCAACCAATCTGAAAATTGATTCATGAAAAGGACATCAATTTACAACAAGTTGTTTAGTACTTCCTTAAATTGAAGTGCTTTCATTGAAAGAGTCCCACGGAAGGGTAACCTCTCCCTCCTGCAAAATTACTTATGCAAAAAACAACTAAATGTGGACACAGCAAAACAGATATTCCCCATACTTTACTCTCTGATGAATTTGGCACAGAAAGGCTTTCTTTTGAGATTTTATTTTGTATCAAAAGCATTGCATACATAAGTATAAAACTGACAAATATAGAAGGAGCACAAGCGGCTAAATAATTTTTGACCAAAACCGGGCAACAGTGACTGCATTGTCTGTAGCTTTAAACAATTCTTTCTTTGAGATATATCTCAGTTTCAAATATTCATCAACGACACTTCAAGGCATGCACAGGATTAACTTGCAAATTTTCAGACTAATTTAAAGACACAAGCAGCTAGAATAGAATGGAATCAAATTCCAAGACACTATTAGATGAATCCAATTTTTCAAAAATTCATGACTTCTGAACATTTTAACAGCACCCAAACTTTCTGCAGCCCTGATTTTAACAGAACTGTAGCTAGTTAATTAATATCCATTAACATCAGCTATTACAGAACAGGCATTTGCAACATATGTAAGAAAAATAAGTAAGATAAGTAAGAAAATACCAAGTTTAATACTTGAGATTCATAAGTTGCATCTTGGCATTATTATAATGAGAATATCTTCTCCTCTTAGAGAATTCTTAAATCCCATTAATATCTTTATAGTAGAATACCATAATGCTTTTCTGGAATGTATAAGCCAAAATTAATTCCAACTTAACAAGATAACACATCATTTTTCTGTCATAGAACACAAAAAATACTCAAAACCAGCTAACAAAAAAAAATTTTTTTAAAAAGAAACTGCATTACATCTCAGGTTCTTCTTCACACATGCACTCTCCGTTTTAGGACTCTAGTATTTATAGCTCCCATGGCTTTAACATCTCACCAGGGTTTTTTTTAATACCAAGTTTTGTAATATCTGATGAAGATTTCTAAAGGGATTTGAAAACATGTTTTTTATAAATGAGACTTTGGTGATCCAACTGAATGCACATGGAGTGAAAGGAAATACCAACACTGAAACCAAATCCAGATTAATAGTAGAAACAATAAAGTGACTGAATCCACTAGCTCTGATGCTACAAGAAAGTTCTTGCCCCAGTATGATAATAATTTCAAATGGGAGAAATTGATTTTTTTAGTGTCTTGCATCAGGTCTGAACCAAAGTTATCATGGTCCTACTAGGTGGCGTGCATGATCACATGACAATGCAACCAGATATTTTGAAAAGCTGCCTATTTAAGCATTAGGGTGTGAGAAGAAACAACCTGACATGTCATAATGATGAACAAAAACAGAAATCACAAAACAGTGAAGAAGTTCATGCCTTTCAGTTTAATGACTGACTGCCACCCTGGTCTAACTTTCTGAAAAGTAGAAAGCAAAACATCGCTCAGCTTTCATTGTATTTACTGGAGTGAAATGCACACACTTATGAAAAGTAACGGGCATTAAGTAACATCAGTGAACAGCGACATAACAATTGACCACTCATCTGAATAAAAAAGGTGGAGTTAGGAGTCAACAAGAGAGTTTCTGTATGCTTGTTCTTAAGATGAATTTGTATGCAAGTCAGAACAGGTAGAGTTTATTCAGTGTAACTCCAGCCAAAGATGTTTATTTATTTTTTTAGCTTTGAATAGCATAAGGAAGAGTTAATATCCCTGTGGTGTTTGTTTTGCTGTTTGTGCCCCTGTTCAGAAGATTTCAGCTCACTTTCTGTCCCTGTGAGAATTGGATTTTGAAAAAGTTGGCTTACTGTGGAAACAAGGATTGGTTATAAAGCTTCAGTGGAGATGCCTTTCCCCCATGATGACCCTTTCAGGATTGAATTTCCCTTCCAAGGGGTAGATTTCTCTCACTGCCTGTTGTCTCACCCCTGTTCTTAACAATGAGACATTTGTAAATCGGATGTATGTAACTCAGGACTGCCTGAATTCTAAAATTGAGGTGGGGTGGAGGGCAAATCTGCACTGTTGGTAGTGGCTATACTATGAAAACCTTTATAAAAATCACAAGTTCAGTTTAATAACAGTACTTTCCAAGCATTTTATTTAAACCAAAGTGTCAGGACTCGGTTTCCTGGCCTTGGAAGGTGGCGCAAAAAACCGGATTCCTGACATGGAGAACCGATGAGGGATTGCAGCTGGTGGCCTTGGGAAGGGCAGTTGGTGGTTTGGCGGGGAATATTGAGCGGGATCCTGGGTTGGCGGGAAGGGGGAATTCGAATGTGGGGAGGGTATATAAAGGGCTGACGTGCGTCTGTATGCCAATCCTGGCTTTCATTGTGTATATGTATCTAGCAGTAAAAGGTTTCCTGATTGATTACGGATGGGCGTCTTGTGTCTTTTCGGGGAGCGGCTGCTGTGAGCTTACATTAAGCCAGGATTCGTCGGTGCCATCCCACGGCTGTGGTGAGATACCCATATGCAACGAGAGGAAGACCCAACGGAGGGAGGGGAACCTGGCTCCCCTTTCGAGAATGCGGAAGA